GACCAATGGAACAGAATTGAAACACCAGAAATCAATCCAAACATCTACAGCCAACTTATATTTGATCAAGGATCTAAAACCAATCCCTGGAGCAAGGACAGTCTATTCAATAAATGGTGCTGGGAAAACTGGATTTCCACGTGCAGAAGCATGAAGCAACAGATGCTGGCGAGGATGTGGGGAAAAAGGGACACTAACCCACTGTTGGTGGGATTGCAAACTGGTCAAGCCACTATGGAAGTCAGTCTGGAGATTCCTCAGAAACCTGAATATAACCCTACCGTTCGACCCAGCCATCCCACTCCTTGGAATTTACCCAAAGGAATTTAAATTGGCAAACAAAAAAGCGGTGTGCACCCTAATGTTTATTGCAGCTCAATTCACAATAGCCAAGACCTGGAACCAACCTAAATGCCCATCAACGGTAGACTGGATAAAGAAATTATGGGATATTTACTCCTTAGAATACTATACCGCAGTAAGAAACAACTAAATCCAGTGATTTGCAACAAAATGGAGGAATCTGGAACACATCATGCTGAGTGAAATAAGCCAGTCCTAAAGGGACAAATACCATATGTTCTCCCTGATCGGTGACAACTGACTGAACACCAAAAAGGAAACCTCCTGAAGTGAAATGGACACTATGAGAAATGGTGACTTGATCAGCATAGCCCTGACTGCTAATGAACAACTTAATACATTATCCCTCTTAGTAGTTTTTTTGTCTGTTCTACTTAATATGACTGGTTTAATTCTGTAATTAATACACAGTTATTCTTAAGTGTTAAAAATTAACTGAAATGTGATCCCTGTTAAACATAAGAGTGGGAATAAGAGAGGGAAGAGATGTACAATTTGGGACATGCTCAAGCTGACTTGCCCTAAATGGTAGAGTTAGAAACATACCAGGTGACTCCAATTTAATCCCATCAGGGTGGCATGTACCAATGCCATCTCACCAGTCCAAGTGATCAATTTCAGTTCACAATTGATTATAATGAAAGGACTAAGAGTCAAAGGAAGCACATAAACAAGTCTAGTACCTGCTAATACTAACTGATGGAATAAATAAAGGGGAGAGTGATCCAACATGGGAAGCGAGATACTCAGCAGATTCATAGAATTGTGGATGTCCTAAATAGCACTCTGGCCTCAGAATCAGCCCTAAAGGCATTCAGATCTGGCTGAAAAGCCCATGAGAGTATTTCAGGCATGGAAAGCCAAGACACTCTTGCAAAAAAAAAAAAAAAAAAAAAGAAAGAAACATCCCTAAATGAAAGATCTCTGTGAGTGAGATCCCAGTGGAAAGAACAGGCCATCAAAGAAGGAGGTACCTTTCTCTGAAGGGAGGAGAGAACCTCCACATTGAATATGACCTTGTCTAAACAAGATAAGAGTCAGTGAACTCAAAAGGCTTCCATAGCCTTGGAAACTCATGACTGGTGCATAGGGAGATTACTGATGCCATAAACAGGAGTGTCAATTTGTAAAGTCAACAACAGGAGTCACTGTGCACTTACTCCTCATGTAGGATCTCTGTCCTTAATGTGCTGTACATTGAGACTTATTGCTATTATGAGTACTCAAACAGTATATTTCGCTTTGTGTTTCTATGGGGGTGCAAACTGTTGAAATCTTTACTTAATGTATACTAAACTGATCTTCTGTAAAAAAAAAAAAAGAAGAAATTATCAATTCCCAACTTGACTCTCACTGGGATTAAACATGACAATAGGTCTGATCTGATTTCATCATCAGTTAAAAAATCACGATTATTTTTCACTTTATGTTTGTGTAGGAGCAAACTGTTGAAATCTTTACTTAATATATGCTAAACTGATCTTTTGTATATAAAGGGAATCGAACATGAATCTTGATGTGAATGGAAGGGGAGAGGTAGTGGGAAAGGGGAGGGATGCGGGTGGGAGAGACGATATGGGGGGAAGCCATTGTAATCCATAAATCGTACTTTGGAAATTTATATTCATTAAATAAAAATTAAAAAAAATGTACCATGGGACTCCAAATCCCATTAAGTTCTCAGATACAAACACCGTCTTACTAGTTAAGGCGATCAGTTTAAGTTCATAATTCATCATCAAGATAGGATTAAGTGTCAAAGGGATCACATAAATAAGACCAGTGTCTGCTAATAATAATTGATACACTTAAAAAGGAGAGAACAATACAACATAGGATGCTGGATACACAGCAGACTCATAGAATTACAAATGCCCTAAACAGAACTTTGACCTCAGAATCAGCCCTTTAGGCATTTGGATTTGGCTGAAATGCCTATGAGAGGCATGGAGGCATGGAAAGCCATGACACTGTAGCCAAATAAAAAAAGCCTAAATGAAAGATCTCTGTGAGTGAGATCCCAGCGGAAAGAATGAGCCATCAAAGAGGGAAGTACCTTTTTCTAAAGGGAGGAGGGACCTTCCAGTTTAATTATGGCCTTGTCTAAATAAGGTTGGAGTTTGTGAACTCAAGGGGCTTCCAGGGGCTGGTGCCATGGCTCACTTAGTTAATCCTCCGCTGTGGCACTGGCATCAAATATGGGCACCAGGTTCTAGTCCTGGTTGCTCCTCTTCCAGTCTACCTCTCTGCTCTGGCCCAGGAAGGCAGTGGAGGATGGCCAAAAGTGCTTGGGTGGCTGCACCCCCATGGGAGACCAGGAAGAAGCACCTGGCTCCTGGCTTCAGATTGGCATAGTTCTGGCCACAGCAGCCATTTGGGGGATGAACAAACAGAAGGAAGACATTTCTCTCTGCCTCTCTCTATCTCTCACTGTCTAACTCTATTTGTAAAAAAAAAAAATAGGCTTCCATAGTCTTGACAGCTCATGACGAAAGCCTCAGGTGATTACTGACATCATAAATAAGGGTGTCAATTGATAAATCAATAACAGGTGTTACTGTACACTTGCTCCTACATAGGACCTCTATCCTTAATGTGTTGATCTATGAGAATTAACGGTAAAACTAATCTTCAAACAGGACTTGATACTATGTGTGTCTGTGTGGGTGCAAACTGTTGTAATTTTACTTAGTATAGAATTGATCTTCTGTATATAAAGATAATAAAATGAATCTGAGTGAAGAATGGGATGGGAGAGGGATTAAGAGATGGATGGTATGCCGGTGAGAGGGTTGTTACGGGAGGAAGAACCACTGTAATCCAAAAGCTGTTCTTTTGAAATTTACATTTGTTAAATAAAAGTTTTCTATGAAAAAAATAATGTAGAAGATATGTGATAAATATGAAAGAAATAGTTAACCAAAAATGATGAATAGATCTGGGTGCCAAATTTTTTTAAAATTCATGCATAATGTTTCATAACACACATTTTCAATACATTTTCGAAGCCTTCTCATTGCATGGAATTCATCCTTTCCAGTCCCAACCTTTGTTCAGTGAATCTTGTGCATTCAGATTGACTCTACTTTTAGTTTCTACACATTAGAGAGAATGGGAGATGTTTGCTCTCTGATTTAGATTTACTTTTCTTGTTTAACTGAATAGACAACAAGTTATGTCATTGTACTGGTAATAAATCTAACTCATCAAGACATTATATTTTCAATTTTATGCAAGTCAGTGAATTTTGTGTGTTTTGTTCCTATACTTCATCTCAATTTGCATGAGCCTGTATTCAAAATCTCACTAATGGCATCAGAGCAGTGACTAGGCAATGGAGAATGTGTTTTGCTTAAAATATTAGGGAACTCATTGATAGCAGTTTGAGTTTAGGAAACTTCTGAGTGGAATAACAGAGTTCTCTTCCATGCTCTCTTGTTTCCCTCCTCATTAGATTTACCCCATTAGTGATACCTCACACTGATATGCAAGCACAAATGATTAGTCAGTGTTGATCATCATTTTTGCTTACAAGACATGCTATCCATTTTGTTCAGTTGTGTTGTGCAGTCTCTTGGTTTTGCAAAGTGTTAAAGGTATGTATCTGCCATGATGGTGTCCTACATGAGTCCTTAAAGTCGCTTACATTCAAGAAGTACAAGTATCTGTATGCATCATCCTGCCCTTGGTGTTTGTCGTGGTGGGAATAAAGTGACGACTTCCAGCTAGTATTGTCTGCCTTATAGTTAAAAGTGAGAAGTCCTCAAATAGTCCCTAGTTCTCATGAGAGTATTAACCAAGGTTTTAGTGTGAAAAGAGTTTACCATGAGATTACCATGGTTAACAGCAATGTGGAAGGGTTTTGTATTTTACAAGTAAGGATGTGATGATTTGACATATAGAATGAAACTCCTGAATTCAGGGTGATTACTGGTTCCACAGTGCTTGAGAATCAGAAGGCCTATTGGGTATCTTTGTAAACAGGATCTGCTTTGGGTCTGTGTGGCATCAAGGCAATGTATGGCTCCCCAGAACATGGGGTCTGGAGGCTGCCCTATTGTTCTTTGGGTCTTTGACATCTGTTACACTGGAGTTTTCTGGTCTGAAAACTTTCTGAGAAACTCACCTGATGCCTCTCTTCATGCCCTCTGATGCAATCCAGGTACATAATTGCCAAAAGTTCATGGAGAGGTTTATTGACAAAGCCCATGGACCAAATGTAACTAATAGGAGGTATGCCCTTGAGTCTTTGTACCCATGGACTTGGAGGAAATACTTGCACCTGGGGTGAAGAGGATGATTCACAAACATGTTTTCCTTCTTGTGTTTTTCATCAGGACAGAAGCCCTGAGCTGTAGAGCCTTGGGGCAGAAAGGCTTCCAGATTCCCACATGGACGAATGGACAGATGGTAGAAAGAAATCAGATTGAGCAGTATTAAAATGGCTTGATGCGAGGAATCACACACACACACACACACACACACACACGCTATTTGTATGCACATGCATGACCCTTCAAGTTCCACTATGGTTGTGTCCTAGGGTTTTCATAGACTTTGAAGATGTTTCCTTTGATTTTTCTGTTGCTCTTTTTGCAACTGTGTCTCCTTGTGACTTGTCATGATCCGAACTGCTTTTTCCAGATGGAACGGAGTTATTACAAGGATGGAGATATTGAGATCGCTGCTTTTTTCCCCATTTACATATACCTTGTGGACAGAATGATTAATATTTTCAAAAACCATATCACATTCAAAGGGTAAGTTCTCTTTGCCATAATCATTTTTCCTTGATTTACATAATAGATGCTTGCTAATGGGTCTGCAGATGGATAGACACATGCGTTGTGTGTCCCTGCCCTTTCCATTTCTGTCCCACCTAAAAAGTTCTGATAATTAACTTGGAGCATGTGGAAGATATTTCTTTCTGCCTCGCACATTGAATTGCTCAGGAAAATGTTATCTCATCATACGAGAAAGGAGAGTCTGGTTGGGATCTTCTTGTCCTTCCCTGTCCCTGTTCATCAGCTCAGGGGCCTATTGTGCCTCAGTAGCAGGTTCTTACAGAACCCATGCACTGAAATGAACAACCCTGAGTTACATGAGCTCTTCCACATGTGCTCACAAACTTTTCTGCTACATATTAGATTTGGAGCCATGAGCTCACTTCATTTCTTCTACAGTCAAAAAGAAGAAAAGATATTCAAGAAAGTAAGATTTTACTAGGTAAAAGTAACCTCAGGCCACAAGTATAATAATAATTGTATGTTAATGATGAATATACCCATGAGAACTGTAATGGTTGGAATCTACACATTCAGGATGCAGCCCTGATCTTATTATGGAAAAATACATTTCAGAAGAGGGATTATTCTGCTCTGCCCATCTTTAAGATACTGTCTACCTGTAGCTAAATATAAATGTTTCATATATATTTATATAGGAATATTTCATGCCTCCAGAATATAGTATCTTGTAGGACAGTGAAATTGTTTTCCTCACATCTGTTTATTTTGGTGCTAATTTCTAATTGGTTTCTACTGTAAGCTATAAAAGTAGGTTGATGATACATAGATCTTTGATAGAAGGTAGATATTAGGACATATATCATTGCAGTATCATTAAAGCCAATGGAATTTAGAACTATAGTTGGTGCCACAAAGGTGAGACAACTGATCAAGTATTTTAGGCATTTGTCCTAAGTTCTATCCAGAAAAAATCTAATGGATACCAGCTTGGTATAATGATATTATTCACGTCACATGATTTTTATGAATTTGCCTATTTTGATAGTGCACATGACATCCCAATTATGAAATATTTATTTATTAGTAGTAGTGGTATTCCCCATGGTTATGCATGCAGTACATCATTTACGTGTACCCTAAATGATGGAGACCAGAAGAGTGTAAATTTCCTGTAGTAGGAATAGAGTTTATGAATAGAGCCCAGGTTCCTCCAAGATGTATACCTTGCCAACTGGAGATCATAACCAAATCTTAGAAAACCCAGGAGAAAATGCCTGTGTTAATGATATTTGGGAATATAATATAAGATTCAACAACTTTAGAACACCCAATAATTATATATAAACTGTTCTTAGAGATAAGAAACACAACATAAAACAGATTGAAAAGGCAACTCTCAAAAATGCCCAGTGTGTCCAAAAATCTTTTAGACCTTTTATACCAATGGCAGTGGGAATAAGAAATGAGAGGTTAAGGAATTGATGGAAATGTAAACAATGAGGAGGGGAACAGAGAAATATGAACTAAAAATGGAATATTATTTGATACTCTTAGCAAGGATTTTTAAAGTTCTTCATTATATACAAAGTATGAGTGAAATATTTGGATAACAAATATTTATAGAAATGAGATTTATATAAAGCAATAGATATTGAGCAACTCTTTACATGGTAATGGATACCTATATATAAATATATAGGCAGAATATGTATATAATATGCATGCATACATACATATTATGTTGCAACATGAACCAAGAAAAGAAAGACTGTCACTTCCTCTGGAGCACACAGTGACCCTTAATATCAGTGTACATGACCTAGTCTATTCATAATGACTCAACACACAGTAAATCTGAAATACATACAAGGGGCTCCTCATTTACACACTTTGTGAAATGTCAGAACCTGGAAAGTAGAAATGCATCATGTTCTTTGCATGGAAGGATATTTATGTTTGGTTCTGTAGGGAAAATTGGGTGAATAAGGCCAGTTTGGAGTATATACTTATACCACTGATAATGATTTACTTTAATATATACCTAGTGTTCAAAATAAATGCATGAATGTCTTAATTGTAAAGCATTACAAATCCAACCGGGGAGTGTTTCAGGCTTTTCTAAAGTGTTCCTCCCTTTTCACTGATTTCCTTCTTTCAAGCTCTGAATCTGATTTCATTTTCCTGGCTTGTGATGGTGGTTGATGGGTGAGTTTGTTGGGGAAGAGATTTTCCAGGATATATCCAGACTTACATCTACCATTCTCAGTGCTTTGACGTCATCCTTCTATGTGATCACATAGCCTTCAGTTGAGTTACTCTCTTTTCCCATTACAACCTGCAGCCTTATGATCATAGGACTCCTATTTCAAGAAGCATATAATGATGTGATAAGATGAAGCATCATTGTAGTTTCCGAATATAGGAATATTTGTAGAGGCAGTGCTAAAGATGCACCTTTCCTTGTCAAGTTTTCTTTGAAACTTTAATGTTCTTTCTAGGTGTGCATAAACATTCGAAAGGGCATTCCAGAGCATATTATAGTATTTCGATATCAAATATAAAAACTTAGAAGATGTAGTTGTTGCCAGAGATGATTTAAATTGATAGGTTTATATTAAAAATAAGATCATTTTCTTTGGCTGCATGGACAGCCATGTGATAACATGCCCAAGACATTATAATGTAAAAGCAGATCTTATTTTCAGAATCATTTAGGCTGGGAGACTGAGATCAAGGGAGTAGCAGCTATGGGTCTGGTGAGGACATGTGTCCTGCAAATGCAACACTCTTCACATGCTGTCCTCAGCAAATGTGCAGATAATCATTAGAACATATGAATCTTTGGCCAAGACCAATCCATCTGTTACAGTTATTACAGTAGAATTGATGATAATCTGGATTTGAGGCTTCTCCCTTAAAGATCCTTGTGCATTTCATGCAGATTTCAGTCCAAAAACTACCAGTATGCTCTGGCCTTGGTTTTTGCTATTGAGGAGATCAACAAGAACCCCCAGCTTTTACCCAACGTGACCTTGGGATTTGATCTCTATAATGTCATGCACAGTGACATGATGGTGATGCAGAATCCCTTCATCTGGCTTGCAGGACTGGAAGAGGATGTTCCTAATTACACGTGTAGGAAACAGAGCAAGTCTGTAGCTGTAATATCAGGAACAAGCATTGCTGTCCAAGTAGGGACACTGCTGGAACTCTACAAAATTCCACAGGTGAGTGTGTAAGTGAAAGAGAGGGATAAAACACATCACCTGAGGTGCCTGACTTAGACCCAAAAATTTAAGTGACAGAACCAAATACACTTGCCACAGCTTGTGATCAAAAGGGAAGGCGTATAGAGATTAGGTGGATTAGCCACATATTATCAGAAGCTGAGTGTTGGCGAGTGAAAATGAGAAATGTTTTCCTTAATCTGTGAATGTAATGTCTCAGGAACTAGGATGTTTTCATGCAAGGCAGATGAGAAAAATGAAATATTCTAAAATCTTCTGATGCTTCCATCATCTGCTTAATTTCTTCAGGAATAAGATAGTACACTATGGCAATATACTTACACATATTTCTTGCATTTTCCCTTAGCTGACAATTGGGTCTTTTGAACCACTTCTGAGTGACAGTGGTCAGTTTTCTTCCCTCTATCAGATGGCCCCCAAAGACACTTCTCTGGCCCGTGGCATAGTCTCCTTGATGCTTCATTTCAGCTGGACCTGGGTGGGTTTGGCCATCTCAGACCTCCCAAAAGGTATTCAGTTTATGTCCAATTTGAAAGTAGAGCTGCAGAAGAATGGCATCTGTGTGGACTTTGTGGAATTGATTCCAGTTACTGAGGAGTCTCGTATGTCACTCCAGAATAGGTTTCATATCCAGATCCTAAAATCATCAGCAAATGTCGTGATTCTTTTCTGTGACACTGATTCACTCATAGGAATCAGCTTTCCAACATGGGAACATGTAATGACATGGAAAGTCTGGGTCACCACCTCACAATGGGATTTTGCCAGCGATGAGCGTCATATTCTGCTCCACTCATTCCATGGGACTCTCATTTTTTCACACCACCATAGTGAGATCTCTGGTTTCAAAAACTTTCTTCGGACAGCTAACCCTTCCAAATACCCAGAAGACATTTACCTCTTAAGATTCTGGTCATCGGTTTTTGATTGCTCAGTTACTGGGGCATCCTGCAAAACCTTGAAAAACTGTCCACTGAATACCTCCTTGGAATCATTGACATGGCATAATTTTGATATGAGCATGAGTGATGGGAGTTACAACATATATAATGCTGTGTATGCTGTGGCCCACAGCATACATGAGATGCTTCTACAATTGTTAGAAATGCAACCAGGGAACAAGGGGGAAAAGGTGGCATTTTCTCCCTGGCAGGTAATTTGGTTTCCATTGCATGACATGTACTCCTGAAGTGATCCCTTTAACAGCTTCTGCCGGTGTTCAAACCAAGTAGCTTGGGATCCTTTCTCCAATCATGAGATATATATGAGCCTCTTCTTGTAATTTGTCATAAGACACAGGGTTCCATTGACAAGTGGGAAGGTAACTTGGATAAGCTTCAGTGTTGTGTCTTAAAAAGTACTCTCCCATCCTGTCAATTTAATTATGACTTGTGAATACCTAGACTGTGTCATTCCATTTTCTGTCTCAACAGTAAAAAAATATTGCTTTTTAGTGTCAAATGTTGTTGAGTATGTTCAGCCACAATGTACATAAGACATCTCATTAAATTGCATTTTTTTTATCCTGGTAACTGTACTACAGATGGTTTTCCTAGGTACACTGAGAAAATAAGTGAGTGTTAGTAGCATGGACTCCACAGTTGGAAATGATCAGAATCTCACAGTTAGATCTTTTTGATTGCCCTAGTTTTTAGATGAAAATGAGTGAAATCATACTTACTTTGATGTAGTTCTCATCATGTTTTAGTTTTAATTCATTGGGTGGCTATAAAAAGTTCCCTTTGTTTATTTGTGATTACAAACAAAAGGCTTTCTTTAAACTGGGTTTGATGTGTTATTGCTTGGGCAGTCTTCATGTGAATATAATGTATTTTTTCAGTTGCACCCGTTTCTCAAGAACCTCCAATTTACCAATCCTGCGGGTGACCTAGTGAATTTGAATCACTTGAGGAATTTGGAAGCTGAATATGACATTCTCAACTTTCTGAATTTTCCATATGGTGTTGTTCATAAGGTTAAAGTAGGACAGTTTTCCCCTTATGCCTCACAGAGCCAGAAGTTGTCTCTCTCTGAGAATTCAATAGAGTGGGCCACAGGAATTACAGAGGTAAGTTGCACCTGATCATAAGGTTCACAATGCACATTGTTACCCACAATTCATATGGGGATTTGTACCACTTGGCTTATTAAAAACACACTTAGAGACATTAAACTACACCCCTTCCAATCTAAATACTTTCTTATGTTTTTAGTGTCTGAGGTTGGACAGTACACGCACTTGTTCCTCCACATGTTTTGAATCTATTTATTTATTTAGAAAATAAACTTGCATGCCATCATTGTGTCAGAAATAGGTATTTACAGTTTAAGTGAACAGGTTGTGCAGGACTTGAAAACACTACATGGAACATAAGCAATAGTCCCATCTCTGACCAACACACATCTGATTTTTCTCAGACTCCACACTCAGTATGCAGTGAGAGTTGTAGCCCTGGATTCAGGAAAACCCCTCTGGAGGGAAAGCCTACCTGTTTTTTTGATTGCACACCTTGTCCTGAGAATGAGATTTCCAATCAGACAGGTAAGTCAGTGCCAGCCTCATGGAGAAGTTAACACCTGTTTCTTAAAATAGTCCTCTTCTCCATGGAAAGAAAAGGATGTGGAGTATGACTGCTCAGAAGATTCTTTTCACCTTCTGGTAGAAGTTAAACCTTATATTCAGTAATAACCCTTAAAATGATAAAAGTTTGCACACTATACTTTACTGCATGTAGTATTTGCAAAATCATTTAGGTAAATTCACGTCTGTGTTCCTTGTACATGAATAGATAAAATGCTTTCACCTAATTCAAGTATAGCATGCTTGGAGTAAGAAAGCACAACTCTCATCAAACTGTGTGTAATTTGAAAAACTGTATTAGAAATTATACAGTATATCATGCTGAGGATAATACTCATCAGATATCATAAACGAGCTAACCTTAGCCTTTGAGCAAAATCATTGCGTATCACAATATAAATCTTCAGGAACATTCCTATGCTTACACTCATACACACTCATGAGTAAAATTTATTTTGAAAGAATACAGGCTGACTTCCATGGTAAAAAGTATGCATATCAAGGTACGTCAATGACAGCAAATTCAACACAAGCCCTTGAAGATAGGATGTGGACATTATAAGGAAACTGAAGTAAATAAAAATTGGAAGAGCTTACAGTTGGTGATCATAGAACAAGTAAAATTTATGAACCTCAACCAGTTGGAACAGTACTAAAAACAAGATTACAATGTCTGTGTGTGTTACACAAAGAGAGCTGAAGAGATCTCTGCACAGATATAAAAGATACTAATACTAGAACATGTGAATCATTTAATGGTGATAGATTGAAGAATATAGAAGAAATTCAGAAATTTCCAGATAGAAACATTATAAAAACTTTGAGAAATATTTGAAAAATCCAAGTAACCTCATAGTTATTAAAATAATTCCCAATACTTTTATTGTGATAAACACCTTTATCAAATGTTCACATAGGAAAGGAACTCTTTCTCAACTACTGTACAGAATAGGAAAAATTCTGTTTCTTCTACAGGAACATCTTAACTTGTTTGATCAAATACTGCCAGATATTTCAGCAAAATGAAATTGTAAGACACTGTTGTTGAAATGAATTCACACATAGAAATTTTAAACAATGTAAACCCAACAGTATTTTTAAATAGGTTACATCATGCCCAATGTCTTGCATAAAGTGTAATTCAGTTTATAATCCTTGAAAAATAGTAATAAGAATTAGCATTTCTGAAGAAAAACATTTAATAAATTTAAGTGATCTAAGAATTATAAAAAAAGAACAAAACAACACAAAATGCCAAAAAGGAGGATCAGTTTTCAATCCTAAAGTGTATTTTAGAATGCTAAAAAACATGGAAGTTATGGCTGAAGATTGGATACAAAGTTGAATAAAGAATGCAACTTCTGCAAGAAATTACCCATTGGTCTGTTTGTGCATACAATAAAAATGAAAGCCATTCAACTTATTATAGAGGAAGATTTAAAATGGCATCATTTTCAACTGATATTGGGATGATGTAATACAATCAAAAATCAGTAATTGAGTTAAGTAGTGCTGGAATACTAGATTAAATACAAAAAGAGATATTTTTGCTTATCAATTCTGGAAAACAAAGCTCTGAAAGATGAGCACATGTAATGTCTCAAAAGTATGAACTATCCAAAAATAAGACCACCTAAACTTTGGAAGACATCTGCAAGTTGTGACAACTGACATTGATGGAGAAATGTATGGAAAAAGAAGGGGATACTGGCAGAGATAGAGATAAAATTCATGTTCAAGAATCAAAAGGCAGCAAAGTGGAAATATGCCAGTAGGGTTCAAGGTGATCTCCAGACTGACTTTGATTACAGGCAGCATCCCAGTGTGTTCCTTGGTGGAAATCTGCTCAAGGGTGGCATCTTATCCAGAAGGTATCAAGTGCACAACTCTTCTGTGTTTCTCTAGAGCTTGATCATCTGTTTTCTAATGGTGATCTCTCAATCAGTGCTTGCCCATAGAATGACTATCCAGATGCTACCTTAGAGAGATGTGGTTTAGTGAAATCGTTGTGTGCTTTCTGTGCACCCAAAATTCACAAAGTAAATCTCCCAGTGCATGACACTAAGAGTGGGAACCTGGGGCCAGTGCTACATCATAGTAGTTGAAGCCTCTGACTGGCATGCCAGCATCCCAGTTGGGCAGCAGTTCCAGTCTCAGCTGCTTCACTTCCAATGCAGCTCTCTGCTGATGATTAGGAAAGCAATAGAAGACAGCCCAAGTTTCTGAGTCCATACCATGTAGGAGACCCAGAAGAAGCTCCCATTTATTGCCTTAAGACAGCCTAGTTCCATTTATTGCCATCATTTGGGGTGTGAATCACTGGTGGAAGATGTCTTTCTTTCTCTTTTCCACTCTTTTCCTTTCTCCCTCTCTTTTTCTCCCTGCCCTCCTGTCCTTCTCTCTCTCCCTCTCCCTCTCTCTCCCTCATACTTCTCTGCCTCCTTCTGAAACTCTGCATTTCCATTAAATTATAAATAAATAAAAACACTCATTAGAAATAAAGACTGGGGCCCTTTGGTCATTGATTAGGCAATGAGAGTACAGAGGGAATAACACCAATAAAACAAGGGCTCACTGCAGACATGGAAAGCCAAGACTCTGGACAAAAAATAGCCTACATGGAGGATCTCCTTGAGACCCCAGTGGAAAGAAATGATCGTCAAAGAAGGATATACTCTTCTCAGAAGGGAGGAGAGAACATCCACTTTGCTTATGGCAGTGTCCAAATGCTGATGGAGTCTATGGTTACAAGGGACTTCCATAGCCTTGGCAGCCCATGGCAAGAGCCTTGGGTGATCACTGATATCATACGTACAAGTGTTAATTGTTAACGGAACAACGAAGTCACTGCGCATTTAATCCCCATTTAGGAACTCCATCTATAATGAGTTGAACTGTGAGAATCAACTGCAATTTTTTCTCAAACTGTACTCTATATGTAGTGTGTCTGTGTGGATGCAAACTATTGAAATCTATATGTTATATGGAGTTGGTCCTCTGTATATAAAATCAAATAAAAATGTAACATAATGAAGGAGATAGGAGAGGGTGAGGGAGGTGGGATGAGAGTTGGAATGGGAGGGTGGGTTTAGGGGAAAGAAACAATATTTCTAAAGTTCTATCTATGAAAAAATGCATTTGTTGAATAAAAACTTTAAAATAAAAAAAATTATGAAAAAATGTAATCACTACATAAAAACTTAAGAAAACAAGGACTGCTGCTTGCTCTTGTTGAAAGTGAGGATGCAGCAAGCATGTGCCATATATAAAGGTCAGAGTAATCTTTATAATATATGGAAACCTCTGGAATCTTGATCACCACTTCCCAGTGTGGAGAAACCATGAAGAATGAATTTGTGGTGTTAAAATGATACAGGCAAAAAAGGTAGGATTTAAAGCACCAGGAGTAGTTACAGAGAGTACCCTGTAGGGCTTTGTTAGGAGAAAAAGAACATGTACTCATCAGTATGTAAGGTAGTTAGAGAGATGAAGTAATAACTCTGGCTAACATGAGGAAGATGGGCATGAATAATGGCCAATAATTTCCTAGATGTTATTTTATATGCTATTTCAACATCAAATAAGGGCTATTTGCCTAAACTAGCTATGTCTGTTATTCCACAAGGTCCTTGTGAATCAGAAATAACTGAACTCAGGATGATGTTCTTGTACGTTTCTTGCCAGATATGGACCAGTGTATGAAGTGTCTGGATCATCAGTATGCCAACAGAGAGCGAAACCAGTGCTTCTACAAAAAACTGACCTTTCTGTCTTTTGAAGAGCCCCTGGGGATGATCCTGGTCTGCACAGCTCTGTGCTTCTCTGTCCTCACTGCTCTGGTTCTTGGGGTCTTTGTGAAGCACCGAGACACTCCCATAGTCAAGGCCAATAATCGTTGTCTCAGCTACATCCTGCTCATCGCCCTCATCTTCTGCTTCCTCTGCTCATTATTGTTTATTGGTCGTCCCAACACAACCACCTGTGTCTTCCAGCACACCACATTTGGAGTAGTGTTCACCGTGGCTGTTTCCACTGTCCTGGCCAAAACTATCACTGTGGTTCTGGCCTTCAAGGTCACTGCCCCAGGGAGAAGGATGAGACACTGGCTGATATCAGGGGTACCTAATTCCATTATTCCCATCTGCTCCCTGATCCAACTGGCTCTCTGCGGCATCTGGCTTGGGACTTCTCCTCCCTTTATTGACACAGATGCACACTCAGAGCATGGCCACATCATCCTGGTGTGTAACAAGGGCTCAGTCATTGCCTTCTACAGTGTCCTCGGCTACCTGGGCTCCTTGGCCCTGGTGAGCTTCAGTGTGGCTTTCCTAGCCAGGAGTCTGCCTGGCACATTCAATGAAGCCAAGTTCCTGACATTCAGCATGCTGGTGTTCTGCAGTGTCTGGGTGACCTTCCTGCCTGTCTACCACAGCACCAAGGGGAAGGTCATGGTGGCTGTGGAGGTCTTCTCCATCTTGTGCTCCAGTGCGGGGCTCCTGGGCTGCATCTTTGTCCCCAAGTGCTACATTATTCTCCTAAGACCTGAGAAGAATGCTTTGAAAGGATTAAGGGATAGAAGAATTTCTAAGGAAACAGATGTTCTCAGGTGTAGCTCTTAGGCTCTCTCAGTTTTTATTGGTTAGAATCTAAAATTATAAAACTGATTTTGCATTCTGATGTTAAAAATAACTTGTATAATGTACCCTCCTTATGAACAATTTATACTTATCTTAATATGTTTTTGTTCTGAAGTACCAATTTACAGAAAATGAAGATAGAGTGTGGGAAAAACCTTCCATCTGGTAATGGAATCTGAAGATATCTGTAGTGGCCCAGTGCTAGTTCATGCCAAAGCAAGGAGATTAATTCAGGTTTTCATGTGAGTGTCAAGGACAGAAAGGCTTAGGCCATCTTCCAACGCATTTTCTAGATCTTAACAAAAAGCTGGATTGCAAGTGTAGTGGACAAAACTTGAACTGGCACCAATATGGGATGTCGGGGTTATAGGTGCTACTAATAGCCACTATACCACCATGCTGGACCCATTCCTTCTCTCTTCAAAATAATACTGTGAACTAATTTCTTAGTCTGGGTTTTATGTTCATAACCACAAAACCAATCTCAGATAAAGGCTCCCCTTGAAACTTTTCATTTCTTTTCAATCCTGTATTTTCAATGTCAACTCATTGACATTGTCATATTCATATTTTAATAAAATGAGTTACACATTTCTTTGCAGTTTTTATTAATTCATTAGAGTCTATATTAAAATAAGCTTATTAATATAGTTGGAATATTGCAGCGCAATCTTTAGACATGTTAATTCATTATAATGTGTAATGTGTACTTGATTTTTTTTGTAGCTCTTGTGAATGGGATATAATTTATTTCTCAGCCATGGCATTGCCTGTGTATACAAAGGCTGTTGCCTTTTGTGCATTGACTTTATATCCTGCTACTTTGCCAAACTCTTCTATGAGCTCCAATAGTCTCTTAACAGAGTTCTTTGGATCCCCTAAATAAAGAGTCATATCATCTGCAAAGAGGGATAATTGTACTTCTTCCTTTGCAATTTGTATCCCTTTAATTTCTTTTTCTTGCCTAATATCTCTGGCTAGAACTTCCAGAACTATATTGAATAGCAGTGGTGAGTGTGGGCATCCCTGTCTGGTACCAGATCTCAGTGGAAATGCTTCCAACTTTTCCCCATTCAATAAGGTTCTGGCCATGGGTTTTTCATAAATTGCTTTGATTGTGTTGAGGAATGTTTGTTCCACACCCAATTTGCTTAGAGTTTTCATCATGAAAACTTTAGGTAAGTTTTCATCATGAAATGGTGTTGTATTTTATCAAATGCTTTCTCTACATCTATTGAGATAATCATATGTTTTTTCTTCTGCAGTTTGTTAATGTGGTGTATCACATTGATTGATTTGCGAAAGTTGAACCATCCCATTTTTGTATCGTAAGTCAAATAATGATTCTTTCTTTTTACAATAACGAGTCTGTTGTCCATTTTCTTAGAACCATTGACCTTGCATTTTAAGTTGCTTCTAGATTCTGTCTAGACACACATGGCATATGTCTTTTCAGATACTGGCTCATTTCTTTAAGTATCATGGATGCCAGTTGCATCAATGTTGTTGCAAAAGAGAGGATTCTTTTTTTTTCTACTACTGATCAACATTCTTAGAGTATGTATGCCAGGATTTCTTTATCCTGTCATCAGTTGATGGATATCTGGGTTGATTCCATATCTTAGCTATTTTGAATTGAGCTGCAATGAACTTGGGGGTACAGATGACCCCTTTTCATGCTGATTTCATTTTGTTTGGGTAAATTTCTAGAGTCAGTTGTCTTGGTCTCATGGCAGATCTATTTTCTTTCTCAGAAATTTCCATAATGTATTCCACAATGACTGCATCAGTTTACATTCTAACCAACTCTGGAGTAGGCTACCATTTTCCTGAGTCCTCTCCAGAATAGGTTGTTAGTTGATTTCTGTATGATAGCCATTATGATGGGTAAGGTGAAACCTGATGGTGGTTTTGATTTCATTTCCCTGATGGCTAGTAGTCCTGAGAATTTTTTTAAGTGACTTTGGCCTTTTCAGTTTCTTCTTTTTGAAAAATGCATGATGAAGGTGTTTCCCATTACTTAACTGGATGTTTAGTTTTTTTGTTGTTGAATTCCTTTCTCTTACAGGGTTCTTGCTATGGAACAGCTGGGACTTGAGCCTACAAAATGTGGGATGCTAGCACTCAAGATGGAAACTTAACATACTACACCACAGCCCAGCTCCAGTTTCCATTATTCTTTTTTTTAATTGCTTTTATTTATTTATTTTTTTAACAGGCAGAGTGGACAGTGAGAGAGACAGAGAGAAAGGTCTTCCTTTTGCCATTGGTTCACCCTCCAATGGCCACTGTGGCTGGCGTGCTGTGGCCAGTTCACCGCACTGATCCAAAGCCAGGAGCCAGGTGCTTATCCTGGTCTCCCATGGGGTGCAGGGCCCAAGCCCTTGGGCCATCCTCCACTGCACTCCCGGGCCATAGCAGAGAGCTGGCCTGGAAGAGGGGCAACCGGGAGAGAATCTGGTGCCCTGACTGGGACTAGAACCCGGTGTGCCGGTGCTGCAAGGCGGAGGATTAGCCTATTGAGCCACAGTGCTGGCCTGCATTATTCTTAAAGATAAGTGGAAAAGCACCAGATCACGCAGATTCTAATCATCTTTTGATAGCCTTTACCCCAATAGAGGTTTCTTAAATTAAATGTCCCCATCCTCTCTAGTACAGTATTCAGTTTTTCATAGAATTACTTCTTTCTCCCCAAAACCTCCATCAGTGTCTTCAGCAATTATAGTCTGAGAAACACTTTAGTAGGAGTTATCATAACTTTATGTGGCTGTCTCAACATAGCAACACTTCCTGAGTCATACTCAATTGTGTATGAATAGCCATTAGCATGTGTGTTTTCTAATATCCAAGTCAATTGGTCTCTGAGTCTTTGCATTTTACAATTGTGTGTGTATGTGTGTGTGTGTGTAAAGGCAAGATCACTGGAACTGAAATTCTATATTTTTTGCGTGTAAAAACTAATTCCCAAGTTAAGGTACCAATGATATCTGATTATAATTCTATCATCCATAGCTAGATCATATGTTTATGTATTTTCTGAGTAGCATATTCCATGCTGACTTACCTTTCATGAGTTGTCTGTTGTATGATAGGCTTGTTTATTTCATTAAAATGAAACACGTTGGTATTCAGTTTTAAATTCAATGTGAAATTGGCCTGTTTTCAGTTATTGTTCCATAGTGTCCTTAAGGCAAATAAATCTAAGCACTTATAAAGGAGAAAGGAAAACCAACTGCAACCCCATTGCTCAGAGGCAGCTCCTATCTAAATAGTCTTTCAGACTTCCTGTACACACACATGTTTATTTCTGCAGGGCCATCTGGTGTTCGCATGGAGATCGCTTCCATTACATGGATGTTTCAGTTCACCCAGTCTTGACTTGGAGCTGTCTACTGCTATTATGCCCAGGTCTCCCTTCCTTTCAGCCAGGTCAATACCGACCACAACACTAGAGGGAGCCTGAGGCCGAGGATGGATTTGAACATTCCTGCAAGAATGCAGTGATGCAACTGAGGTGATTTGGGGTGGGTATAGGGCTCTTTCTTGTAGAAGCTCTCAAGTCAGCTCCTCCAGAGTAACACCTGAAATTCGCAGAGAGCCACACATCAGCCATAATGAATACCCCCACATCGATCTGCAGCCAAAGTCAGGAGGCTCAGCACTGTGAGCACAAGTTTCTCATGAGAGGACAGAGGCAGGAACCATGTCCTGTACAGGAATATGGGTCATGTGTCACGAGGAATGAGAAAAGGCCACAACCCACCTGGCTGTTTTGGTGCAGAATATGAGGATATGGGTCTTTACGTGTGCGACCCCCTAGGGCCGAGCTGCAGAGGAGCAAAGTGTGTTCCCGCCACTACCCCCTGTTGGCTCCTCACTGCTCTGCAGCTCAACAGACCCTTCCAGGCTCTGTGCCAGGTTGTGAGACCTGGAGAGGAGCTGGGTTGGTGACTCTGAGGGTTCTCCTGGGGAATTGTGAGAAGGGCGAGTCCTTCTGGTTTCTTCCCCACTGTTTTGGTGAAACCTAGTAATCCTGTAATGTAAAATAATTCTAATGCACCTTGTATCCCTTGGGCCAGGAATTTACATCTTACTTGAACAGTATATTATGGAAGTTTTAAATTCTGGAATAGGAAGTCTTACCTCACTGAGATGCCAACTTTTTAAGAGGAGGGTAATTTTGTTTGTTTCCTTGTTTCGGCAACCCTCAGAATCACCTTGAACACTTACTGAAACAGGGAGACTGTTGGGATGCACTCTGTGATGCCTTATCTGGTAGACCTGGGGGTGCTGTGGCATTCAGCTCCACATGTGGTGACTAGGAGCCTCTCCCAATTCTGCTTCCTTGTGTTTTGGACTTCCCTTATTTCTCATTAAATAAAAATGCAAGTTTATTGATCTGAAATTCCATTCTCTTTCTTCTCAAATAAAGCATGAGAGTTTCTACAACAAAACATCAAGGTCTTTCAAACAATATCATTCTGATTAGTTTGCTGAATTTGCTTGAGAAGAAAATCCCAGAAAGAAAGGCAATGGATTGTTAACACTTGTCCATTTTTGCATGAACCAGCAACAGACAAAGGCCAAGAGCCATCCAAATAGGAAAAGATTTGTGTGTAGGTCACCATCAAGCTGGGGCAAATTAATGTGGAATCCCAGATAAACACGGAGTCTGAAGAAGAACATGAAATCATTCAACATGGGATCATCCCATGATCCGGAGAAACCAACATGGTTCTTAAGTGGAGGAAAAGACCGTGATAAGAACACAGGTAATTCACAGGTGAAAAATCATTCAATAAGGACCTTATAAAGCAGCCTTATTAGACACATGGAAGAAAAATAGGCCATTGTTGATGACAGTAGAATAAAACAACATTGAATATAAAATAACTGCTTTAGACTCTAAACTCCCAACTGTTACATTTCCCAGCATCAGAATATCTCTTACTACTGATTACCTGTTCAAAGAGATAAAGGATGGAATTATATAATGTATCCACATGCAAACTGTCAGAAAAAGCCTGTTTGGCAGAGATCATATATAGCTTTATAAAGAAGAGGAGGTGGAGGATGAGGATGAGGAGATGAAGAGGGCAGAGGGATTAGAGAAACACCAGAAAATGACAAAGAAGAGAAGAGGAAGTATAGATACAGATGAGAAAATAATTTCTACTTTTTTAAAATATTAATGTATTTATTTGTGAAAGAGTTTCACAG